CTGCACAGCTTTCCCCCTTCCCCTGCCTTCTCTCTGCTTCCTGTGCTTGGCCTCCTCCACACTTGCCCCTTCCCGGCTCAGAACCGTCCTTCCTCTCCGTGACCAGAGGGTCCTGCGGCCTTGTGGCCTTGTCTAGTCTGACGTCCAGGAACACCCCCATGCTGCTTCCAGCCTGACGGGGGGAGGCCCTGGGCTTCCTGCCTCTGCTTCTGGGGGAGGTGGACCCTTTGGCTGGGGACCCTTCCTTTACAGTCTGAGATCCTGCCTTGTGGACCCCTAGGAACCAGATCGTGGGCGCTGGTGTCTCTGCCCCTCCCAGCTTCTCTCAGTGATGGGAGGTCTGAGTTCAGGATGCGCTTCAGACCCTCACTGGGCCACTTCATGAAAGGTTGCACTTTATGGATTTCCGCACTTTTAAGAAGAAATTGTGGTAAGATAGACATAAAGTTTACTATTTTATCTATTTTAAGGTGCAGTTGAGTGGCAGTAAGTACGTTCACTTTGTTTTGCAAATATCACCACTGGCCGCCTGCAGAACTTTTCATACTGCAAAACTCAAACTCTTGCCCCATCAGACATTAACTCCCCAGCCCCTGGCACCGGCCATCCCATTTTCTGTCTGAGTTTGACTGTTCGAGTAACGCATACAAGTGGAGTCAGCTGCGAGTTGTCCTTTCGTGACTGGCATGTTTCACTTAGCCCAATGTCCTCAAGGTTCATCCGTGTGTCAGAATCCCCTCCCTTTCCAAGGCTGAGTGATACTCCAGCGGGTGGACCCATTTGCTGGCCCACGTGTCTGTCCGTGGACACTGGGCTGCTTCCACTTTGGGCGATCTAGAATAATAGCGCCTGTACTGTTAGTTGGTTCTCGTTCAACTGACCTGCTTTAAACACTTTTTTTTTAAAGTTTTGAAAGGAATATACAACCTTGCTCAGAAGCAATGAACGTCATGATGTCTGTGTTGGGAAGACTTATAAAACCGTAGAGGTCCCTGCTGCAGATACACGTTTGCGTGCAACTGCAGATAATTTTACATAAAATTAGCGTCAAATGGACCAATGCAGTTTTCTGTGTTGTTTTTACCTGCAATATCATGATTATTTTTTGACAATTAAATAATCTTTGACAATATGACCTTTGTTCTCTTTTCATGTGGATGAACAATAGTTTACTTACCATTCCTTTGTTACTGAATGTTTCGTTGCTTCTTATTTTCCCTGCTACAAATAATGTTCTAATGAGTATTCTCACATACTGAGAATCTACTTTGCTTCCATCTTGGGTTATTTTGAATTTAAAATTGGGAACTCCTGGGGCAAAAGGTGGATGTGGATATTTTCAAGGCTCTTGATACACACGAAGGCAAAGACAACATTGCCTTTATACCGACTTGCAGCCCGTCAGTAACATAGTGTTCTTTGCTTTGTCAGTGCTGCATCTTAGGTCCATTTTTTAAACTTTAGAATTGGCTCTAAAATCTAAGACTTTGTACCTAATGTTTTAATAATTGTAACAACTTAGGAAGAGACAGAGAGGACCAGAACTGGAAAGATCACAATGATAGGGACACACAGGGCAGAGCCTGCGGGTTCTGTGTTTGTCAGAAAGCAGTTGCCCTCTTCCTCCCGTGCTGCTCCAGCCATGGAGAAGGCCTCCCTGAACAGACCTGTCGTCCCCTCTCGCAGGCAAGGCTTTGCATGTCTGGGCTAGATGCCAGGAACCACCGTGCCCTCTGTCCTCGTGAGGCTCGGCGTCCACGTGCTTCTTAATCAGGAGGGGGCTTCTGTTTGGCGGTGCCAGCCCAGCCTGTGGCCTGCCCGTTGCCCCAGCATGCTCATGAGCATTCCTGCATGTTTCCAAATGATCCAAGTAGATGTGATACGGTATGAAATGGCACCGTTGGCTGTGTAAGTGATAAAGGGAAACCAGACTGACGGGAGCAGCCCTTGTTGTGCACTCCGTAATCTGTTCTTTGGATTGCTGAGTGACAGAATTTGTTCCTGGAGTTTTGGGGTAGAATTTGGACTGCAGAGGAAATTTGTGTTTGTGTAATGACGTGTGCCTCTGCCTGAAGGAGGTGGGCCCTGATGGGGCGTTCTGTCCGAGGGCTGTGTGCACGCTCACTGCCGCCTGGCTGCGAGTGGCCGGGTAGTTTTCCTTCCACAGATGAAGGCCGCGGGCCCTCTCATTTCAGGAGATGCCCTCCGCAAGCCTCGCCTCCAGAAGTCTGTCACATGGCACTTGGATGACGTGTTCTTCACGCTGTACCCTTCCCTTGAGAGATTTGAGCAGGAGCTTCTGGAGCTGCTCATCAGCGATCACTTCCGGGAGGTACAGTCGGAGCTCAGTCAGCAGCAGGGATGCAGGCGGCAGCGCAGAGCCGGGGAGCCGCCGGCCTCTCTGCGGCCGACGTGGGGCACAGCGCTGTGACACGGTCCTGTGTCTTCCCTCATTTCATGGCTGAAGAGGGGCACTAGGACATTGTCCGAGCTTTGATGGTGACTTGGAGGTGCTGTTCCTGAGACATTAATTAGCATTAATCTTGACACATCTTGAAACAGTTCTCATTTCAGAGGAGCATAGGGAAGCCCATAAAATAGCGAAACAGTGTACATCTTGCAGACACTTGGCCTGTTCTAGGGAGGTGACTAGAAATCAGTCATCCTACCCTATCCAGGCTGCTTTCTGGGCGAGGCACTGTGCCCACATGCCACATCTGCCTCCTGTGTGAGCGGGCACAGCCTCTAACTCTCCATATGAAAGCCTGCACCCGCAGTCCTCGCTGGGTGGTTGGATGGCACCCCGTCTGCGCTTCCATGGCTGTGATGTTGCCTTGTCCCTGCCTTGTGGGGGGTGGCAGCTTGTTCCCACCACGGGCCTTTGAATGCAGAGCTCACTTGGCTGTTCATGGGTTGTCTGGACGCTTGCAGACTCCTCTCAGGCCCATGCTCAGTGCCACGAGGCTGCTCTGGCAGGCTGCCCTGACTGTGCCACCGAGGCTGCACCAGGCGCTCTCTCTGGCACACTCCCCTGCCTCCTTTCTGCAGGTGCCTGGCCCTCTCTGAGAGCACCTGCTTTCCTTATCTGTTTGCTGGTTTACTGTCGGTCCCTCGGTGGGGTATTTGCACTGGCTGTGGGGCAAGTGGACAAGGACTCGATTTGGCTCGTCTCTGTGCCTGATGTGCTTGAGATAATGCCGGCACACAGTAGGGCTTTACTATTTACTTGTTGTGAAAATGAATGATGCAATCAGTTGGAGCCCATGCTAGTTAGTAGTCTGCGAAGTCAGCAAACGGTAGCTACGCACATGCACACGGGAACAAGCTGCTCTTGTTTGCGCTCTGCCCCTTCCTGAAAACACGTTTCCACATAATGTAGTCTCGTGAACGAGAATCACATGAACCAGAGAGAAGAGAGGACCGAAGGAGCAGCGTGCGTGTCCTTGCTGTGGCTCCTGCTGCGTCTTTATTGCTGAGTGGGTTGTATGAGGATAGATGCTTTAAGAGTACCATTGTTGAATTTTATGTATTCCCATAAAAATCACCTGTGTATTTTTACTGTCTTTGTATTTTAGTTCCTATCCAACTGGTAGATAGTTATCTCTATCGTTTTATTTTCATTATTCAAAGACTAATAGGCTGAATTTAGGTCTGTTCAGCTTGATTAATGGCCAGTGAAGAAAACCTGAAAATTCAGGGATCATTTTGCAATGATCACATAATTTAATAAACAATAGTAGCCTGGAGGAATATCCTTGCTCATTTGTTAGAGCGCCTGTATATTTTTTGTTAAGATGAAACACTTCAATATCCATTGATCACTTTGGGGCAGATTCCATTTTTATTGGTTTATGACTTACTGCCTAAATATGCTCCCTCTTCCTCCTGCCCCTTCCACCCCAAGTCTCCAAAGTCCGAGTCCAGGGGAGGGGGCGCCTCTGTCACTGCCTGCCCTGCCTTGGGGGTGGCGGGCTCCTGTGCCTTGTACCCTGGGCTCTGTTAGAGGAGCCAGAGTCCCTGGTTGCTAGTTTGCTGCATCTTGAGGATCGTGGCTCAGCCCTGGAAACCTGGAGCGAGAGTCTGGTGATTCAGACGTCTGAGGGGTGTGGTGTGCCGGGTCTGTGTGACCCCGGGAAGTCCATGCCGAGGGAGGAGGCCCCAAACTGTCTAGAAAATGCCTAAGGCCACCTGGTTCTGGCTCCATTGCTTATTTATTGCTTGGACTCATTTTCGCTGAGCACCATCTGACCAGGACATGTCTGAAACTTTTGCTGTGGTTCCTCTTTGTCACCTAACATGTCCTTTGTGAAACAGAGAGACCGGAGTCTGCCAGGCTGGGCTGTGTAGAGGACGTCAGACTGTCCCCAGGGTGAGAGGGATGTGCACTCTTTTTCCCCGGGAGCAGTGTTCAGTGTGCACAGGTCACTGCGGGGGCAGTATTAGTTCTGTGGGTCCTATAGCAGCGTCCTGGGGGAGCACTGTCACCTTTTCCCAGCCGAGGAAACAGGGCTAGAACCTGAGGGAGAGAACCTGCCCTGGGCCGCCAGCGGGGCTGAGGCTCGCACCCAGGCCCTGGCTCCAGAGCCCCTGGAGGCTCCCTGTCCCTCCCTTATTTCAGGATATATAGCTTGTTGGTGCCCGAGGCTGGAAGCATACCGGCTCTCCTTCCAGAGCCGTGCTGTGGCCCAGCTCTCAGGCCTGCCCCCCCTCCTGCCCAGGCCCTGCTTTGCTGACTGTCCATTCATGTGTCTCAGTGCAGCTGTGCCCGTGAGGCTGCCCTTCTCTCTGCAGCCCAGCCAGTCATCGTCTCCCTGATGCCGGCTGGGGCTCTGAGCTGCTGTGGCCTTCCAGTGGCTGGGAGTGAGCAGTCTTTGTTGGCTGCCAGCTGCTGCACGCTCGTGGTTCTAACCTTTGGCGCTGACCTTTGGTGCGGGGCCCGTCTCCGGGTCTCTTGTCCCCTCCCCACAGCACCTTCTCGTACTCTGCTTTCATGCTGGGCCTCATGGCCTTTGTGCTGGGAGTGGCTGTGAACATGCGGCTCTTCTTGGCGGGATGGCATGTGTTGACTTCAGCCCTGGGTTTCCCTTCTGCTTTCACCCGCCTGCAGAAAGGTGGCTGGTGTGCATCTTTCCATTGTCACTGATGCTTTTTCAACATCTGAACAACTTCTGGCTTGTGGGCCACACAGGCCTCTGGGGTCTGCCGCCTGCTTCCGGGGAGCAGATCCTGGGAGAGGGCAGGCCCAGGTGGCAGGCCCAAGTTCCTCCTTTCTGTTGCTGTAGAAACGAGACCAGTTAGGGGAGGTGAGCAGTTTGTGGATCCGGCACATCCTCACTGCATGAAGGGAAAGTGAAATGTGGGGTTGTGCCCGTTTGGGGTGAGGGTGCCTTTGCTGCTCAGCACAGGGTTGGCAGTTGGAGCACACCGGATGCAGCTGGCGTTCAGTGGGCAGAGGCCTCAGGCTGCTCTCTGTCTCGAGGTGAGTGGTGGGGGGTGCATAGGGAACCTGGGGTCAGAGGTGAAAGCCCTGGTTGGGGGTGGAGTGAGATGGTCAAGGCCGAGAGCTGGGGGCTCCTGTGTGTGTGTGTGTGTGTGTGTGTGTGTGTCTAAC